AAAGCAGGGTGGCGTGAGATACACCCTGCTTGACAAGATAGTTCTTGAGAGCACGGCGTGCATTGCCCATATCAGCTTCTGCAACCCAACTGTCCTCAGTGGGGTCGTATCCCTTCCAGCGTATCAGGAACTCGAGGGTCTTGCCGCCGCGGCGCCGATGAGAGAGAACGCGCTCAATCTCGTACACGGGTTCATCCTGCACAAGAACAGGTGGAGGTGGCGGTAGCTGCCGTCCCTGGAACTGTTGGTTGGGGTCCTTGTAGGGTTTCAGTAGCTGCACATGTAAAGCATTGTGAAGCTTCCACGTATCTGGTAAGCGCAAGCAGAATGTAACTGGTGTCACCTGTGCCTCAACGAGAAAAGGACCACAGAAGCGAGGCCGGAGTTTAGATGGGAGGTGAGACAGGTTCAAGTTGCGCGTATCAAGAAGCACCTGATCTCCGACTGCTACTGAGTGATCTCGTCGCTGACGATCGGCATACTGCTTCTGGGAGTTCTGCATCGTGGTGAGACGTCGCTGATTTTTCTCCCATAGCTGCTGCATGGTGGTGACGAAGTCATGTGCGGCTTGGACGTGTGCCGGTGTAGTTGGCTATTGTGGGGTGAGTGGTTCCCGTCCGTAACACAGGAAGAAAGGAGTTTTCCCTATGGCCGCATGTGATGCGTTGTTGTAAGCGAACTCTAGGGTCGGTAACTGTGTGTCCCAGTGGTTGACGTTGTCCTTGCAAGCTGTGCGCAGTAACTGTTCAACCACTTGATTGAGTCGCTCTGTCTGTCCGTCAGTCTGGGGGTGGTATGCTGAAGACATTGCAAGCTTTGTCCCCAACAGTCCCATGAGCTCCTTCCAGAACTTACTGGTGAATTTTGGGTCTGTGTCTGAGATGAGTGTAGCGGGGATGCCGTGGATGGTGATGATGCGGTCGAAAAAGAGGCGAGCAGTTGCTTCAGCTGTAGCTGTGGCGTTGGTCAGTATGAAGTGACCCATTTTGGAGAACTTATCGATGACTACGAGGATGGAATCGTGTCCCCGTGAGGTCGAAGGAAGTCCCGTGATGAAGTCGAGGCTAACGACCTGCCATGGCTGCTCCGGTACGGGTAGAGGCTGAAGTAACACTGCTTTTTTCTGCTTGCTGCTCTTCATCCGCTGGCGCGTGTCGCATGAGGTGACGAGTTGCTGCACGTCTGCTGCCATCCCGGGCCAGTAGTAATACTTCGCTATCCCTGCTAACGTCTTGTTGCTCCCGAAATGTCCCGCGTATGGTACGTCGTGAAACTCCTCCAATAGGATCTGCCGTAGTGGGACGTAATTCGGTACCCAAATCTTTCCTGAACCCTTCCTTAAAGCTAAGTCTTTCTCCCACTGTAACAGCTTCTTGGTCTGTGCTGTAGCAATCTCTGCGTCCACGGAGTACCCATGTTGGAATAGACCCTTGAGCAGAGGGTTCATCCCGTCGAGCTGGATGCCTGCTACATGTCCGGGGCGGCTCAACGCGCCTGCCTTGTTGTGTAGCCCGGGCTTGTAGACGATGTCGTAGTGGAAGTGGGTTTCCAGGAAGTCCACCCACCGCACCTGTCGTCGTGAAAGCGTCGGCTGCGACTTCAGGTATTTGAGACTGCAGTGGTCAGTATAGACTGTAGTCTTGGCTCCCTCTAGGTAACACCTCCACGCCTTGAAGGCTATGACTATCGCTAAGGCTTCCTTGTCAGGGATGGGGTAGTTCAGTTCTGCTCCGTGTAGCTTCTTACTGAGGTAGGCTATGGGCTGCAAACCGCGTCCGTGATCCTGCATCAGTACTGCTCCGACTGCTTGGTCACTAGCGTCTGCTTCCACCACGTAGTCCTTGTCTGGATCCGGCAAGATGAGTACTGGCGCTGTAGTCAGTGCTGTATGTAGTTGCTCCATGACTTGATGATGAGGGGTATCCCATTTGTAGGGCGTATCCTTCTTCAGTAGGTCGGTCAGTGGCGCTGCTATCTTAGCGTACTGCGGCACGAACCTGTTGTAGTAGTTGGCGAAGCCTAGGAACTGCTGCAACTCCTTCCCGTTCTCTGGTACTTTCCACTTCTTGACGGCTTCGATCTTCCGCGGGTCCACGTGTACGCCCTCGGCACTCACCATGTTCCTGAGGAAGTGCACCTTCTTCAGGGCGAAGTCGCTCTTCGACAGCTTCACGTAGAACTTGTTTTTCCGCAGGATCTCAAACACCTTCCGCAGATGCTCCACATGCTCCTTCATGTTCTTGGAGTAGATGAGAATGTCGTCCAGGTACACCACCACACACTCGTCTAGTAGGGGTCGTAAGATGTGATTCATCTCCGCCTGAAACGTTGCTGGTGCGTTGCAGAGTCCGAACGGCATCACCAAGTATTCGTAGGAGCCGTATCTGGTACGGAACGCCGTCTTGTGGATCGAGTTGTCCGCCATCTTGATTTGCCAGTAACCTGATCGTAGGTCCAGCTTCGAAAATACTGTTGCTCCACGCAGTTGATCCAGTAGCTCGTCTATGCGCGGTATGGGATATTTGTTTTTGACTGTCTGTTTGTTCAATGCGCGGTAGTCGATGCACATCCGTAGACTGCCGTCTGGTTTTGGAGTGAAGAGAACTGGTGCACCGTAGGGAGAGGTGGATGGGCAGATCAGTTGCCTGTCCAGTAGATACTCTATCTATTTTTTCATGTCTGTCAGCTCGGTCGGACTCACGAATGCATCAACGGTGACTTCATTGATCTCACCTGGCAGCACCCGGAGGATGCGCGCTTCCTACGCGAACGCGTGCTGAACCCCACGGCGAAGGAGGTTATAATCAAAGGCGTACCGGCGAAGATATCGGCGGAGCTGATTCACCTCTTGCTGGTGATGTCAAAGCTGGTTAAACGCGGCAGGAGCGTGTTTGCCAGTGGTTTTGGCTTCCATCGGACGGTTGTTCCGGTATCAGGCTTGGACACGGATCGCATTCGCGGGCTGTTTATCCCTCACGCTAACGACGAGTACCGCTGGCGTACCTTTGTGGAAGACCCCACCACACGAAAGCGTTACCTGCTGCATTACCCATCACTGACCTGTGATTTCTGTGGAGGCCAGCACTTGACGCGTTATCACGACCGCTATGTCGCCCCGAGATAGGATAACTTCAACAACTGGAACCTGACTGTTAAAAAGGTTCATGAGATGAATGGTACAAGCCGAGTGATGTTCTACCTGCCTCCGATGCCCGCTTTCCTGAACGCTTTCTACCTCGTACCTCTTTCTGACGTTTGTCTGCTCCTCTCCCCCCGCAGCTGCGTCCCTGATAGCTTCAGATCTCCTGAAGCGCATCATATGAGACCCTGCTATCATTCTCACTTCCACTGGAAGCGTGCGGGAGGAATGGGTCTGTGTCCAGGCGGTATGCGAGAAGGCGCAGGGAGTTCACTTCGAACAGGCATCGGCGCATATTGTATCTTCAAAGGACAAGGGGGGTCTGCGGAAGGAAAGTTCAGCCACACGCGCCAGCAAGTTCTCCCAGAAAATGCTGGCTTTCAAGAAGGAGTACACTGCGAAACCAGCGAAGTAACATATGTTACGGCGAAGCAATGCCTGAAGAGTGTCTTAGGAGGATGTCTTAACGTAGTCTCCAGCGGTGTAATAAGAGAGGTGGTCGGTAGCAGCGGCTCACCTGTCATGGTAGCAGTTTTGTTCCTTATAGCCCGTGGATGCGAAGGGGCTTTCCAGTTGTTGATTAATGGATAAGGCCCACAAGGTCGTTTTCTGCGAGTTCAACATCATCGGACTCGGAAGTGTAGAGAAACAAAAGAAATGCAGTGAGTGGATGAAGGAGAAGTCAGACGTGGCGATAATCACAGACACCAGATTACAAGCAGATCACAACTTCTGGACGGACATAACTCCAAGTGCTGTTGCAGTATGTGGACAGAACCCTGACGAGTCGGCGGGGGGTGTTGCTTTAGTCAGTTTTGTACCTGGAATGATCTTCACAAGCACCCACGCACATGTATCTGGCAGGCTCCTGGCGGTAGTGGTCCAATGGGGCAAGTTGGAGCTCCTGCTGATAGCAGCATACATCCCAGCGCAAGCAGTTAACAGGTCCAGTTTCTACAGGGACAACCTGGTGCCTTTCTTGGGGTCCCTACCGGCACTCCAAAACATACTGGTGATGGGGGACCTTAATGTGGTTGAAGACCCTGACTTCGATCGCACTTCACACGCCGGCTCCTCTGCGGAAAATCAACGGCTCCTGAGCTGCTGGGGAAATACGGACCTGAGGGACGCTTTCAGACACATGCACCCGGACAAAAGGGAATATAATTTCTTTGCAAAGGCAACACGATCCAGCTCAAGGATAGACAGGGCGCTGATCTCACCGCCGCTGTTGTGCAAGTTGGCAGAGGCGAGACATGTGGCGATTACAACCGGTATGACAGATCACTGGAATGGAATTGGCGTGGTGCTGGAATCCGCTGAAGCCGTGAAGAACGGGCCAGGCATCTGGAGGTTACGGGCGGAGCAGGCAAAAAAAAGTGGAGTCAGGAAGATAATAAAAAAGATCATTGGGGAGTCGGCGGGCGGATCAGTCGAGAGACTGCTGGAAAGGCTGACCGCGTGCCTGAAAGCGTACTCAAGGGAGGAGAGGAAGCGGGAGAAGGCGATGAGGCTTCATCTCACTAAGGAGGTTGTACGGCTCAGGGAGCGTGTATCGCGCTTTCCACACTGCCAAAGGACGGGACGTATCCTACTCCAGAAAGAGGAACTGTTGGATGCATACGAGAAAAATCGCAAGGAGCAACTGCAAACATGGGCAGGCATAGAGGCTGAAATGGACGGGGAGGTGGCGTCAGGTGCACTGTCGGCGCAAATCAAAACTCGAAAGGCGAAGACGGAAATCCGAGAAGTATCAAGGAACGGGATCATCTCTACGGGCGTGAAGGAGGTTCTCACGGCGGCTACGGATCATTTCCGCGAAGCCTTCAGTTGCACAGGCAGAGGAGTGGTGCCTGGCAGGATGGCCCACCCCGTGCAACGGACACTGGGAGACAAGAGCAGACTGGCGCTAAGTGCACCATGGTCGGAGGCCGAGGTACGGAAGGCGGTGAAGGAACTCGCTCCGAGAAAATCGCCAGGAGCAGACGGCTTGCCTAAGGAGCTTTTCGACCATAACTGGGACTTGCTGGGGCCGATACTGATGGATTTGGTGAGGAGGTTCACGGAAGGAGAAGAGCTGCCGCACAGTGTCTCCACAGCGGTGACCATCCTGTTGCATAAGAAGGGCGATAAAAGCGAGTTAGGGAATTATCGGCCGATAACGCTTCTAAGCACAGTGTACAAGATTATCGCAAAGGTGATGGCGAGCAGACTCAAGGCAGTTATACACGAGGTCATCTCGGAGGACCAATATGGCTTCATACCTGGTCGGCAGCTGGCGGGCGCGGTGTCGGTGGTAGCAGACGCCATTGAAGCAGGTGCTAACGGGAAGGAGGACTGGTATCTGATGATGATCGATTTTCAGAAGGCCTTTGACTCAATATCGCGTGATTACCTATTCGGAACGCTACGGAAGCTGGGTTTGCCGGAGGATTTCGTGAGATGGACGATAGGTTTACACAGAGAAGCGGGTACATGTCTGCACATCAACTGATGGACAGGGGACAAGGTGGCAGTGGAAAAGGGCGTGCGCCAAGGCTGTCCGTTGGCGCCGTACCTTTTTCTCTGCGCGGTAGAACCGTTATGTCAGGAGATCAGCAGAGCAAAGCTGGGGATCGGGAAGAAAGGCGTGGGGAAACTGGCGTACCTGGGGTATGCTGACGATACCTCTCTCTTGCTACACGGTGTGGAGCAGCTGAAAGCAGCAGCAGGGGTGCTGTCAGCCTTCGGAGAAGAGTCGGGGCTGAAGGTAAACGAGGGGAAAACGGTAATCTTCCCGTTGGGGAAGAACCGGGGAAAGACAGCGCCGCAAAACCTGAATTACAAATGGGCGGACAAGGAAGAACCGGAGCGTCTTCTGGGGATCTGGATTACGCCGAACGGTGACCCGACTCCATCCTGGAACAAAGCGTTGGACAGGGCAAAAGGGGAGTTAACGAAGTGGGAAACGCAGCATCCGACAACGTCAGCAAGGGTCACGATAGTCAACAGCTACATTGTGCCGATCTTTCTCTTCCAGGCACAAGTTTACCTGCCACCAGAGGCCATATGGAAGAAGATCCACAAGTTGTGCCACACCTTCATCTCGAAAGGGGAAGCGGTGGAAGAGAAGCAATTCATCCTCTGGAATTATCGGCTGGTCTGCACGCCGCGGAAAGACGGGGGATTGGGGTTGATATGTCCTGAAAAACGGGTCGACAGCATCGCCATCCGTTGTGTCTGCAAGCTGGTGCTGAAACCAAACTCGGTCAGGAAGTGGCTGGCGGAGAAAGCGGCGGAGATGCCCCTGGAGCTGGACACAATCTTCGCACACAGGTCGCTGCTGGACCACTGGGAAAAAGGGAGCGAGCGGTGGAAAAAGTTAATTAAAAAATTCTGGGTCTCTCCGCTATGCAAACCACGGGCTCCAACAAACCGCTGGGAGGTGGAACAGGAACATCTGGCGTTCAACCCGAATATCCCCTTCAGAGGCGCGAGCCCCTTCGGGAACCAGAAAGGTACAGAGGCGTTACTCGGCATCCGCATGGGAGACCTGATTGTCAAAGCGCGAGACGGAACAAGTGAGCTCAAGAAGCTGGCAGCACTGGCAAGGGAGCTCGGCTGCAGGGAGAAGGCGAAGTGGGTGTTGAGGGCTTTCAACGCAGCACCAGCAACCTGGAAGGAGATGGTACTCACGAAATTGACAAGCGAGGAGATCGTGGCTACGGTGAAGCTTCTACGGTCGAGCAACAGCGCAACTGGCGGTTTTACCTACTGGAAAGTGGGCGAAGCAAGAGGCGACACGGTGGAGGGGATACTATGCGATATAGAGGACGGAGGGAACTTCTCACCCTACGAGGGAAACCTCAAGATGTATTTCAACCTGCGTAGCGGGGTGCCGATGTTCACGGAAGGGAGTGCGTTCCTGGGCCCCATGGGGGACGTGCGGACGAAGCTTTTGCTCTCAGCGGCATGCGAAGGAGGGGAGCTAATCACGCTGAAAGGGATAAGGAAGGTGCTGACAGACTCGGCCGGACCACAAGAAGAACAAAGGAGATGGGAAGGACAGAGGAGGGTGATCGAGTGGGACAGAGTCATCGAACTGAGGGACTCCCTGGTCACCCCACGGCGGGCACGTGAAATCCTCATACGGCTCCACTGTAGGAACCTGCAAGTGGGCTCGACGCTGTTTTTCATGGGGGTGGTCTGCCCACACTGCCAGGGAGAGGAAACCCCAGATCACTGCCTCCTTGACTGCCTGGCGGTGCAGGGGGTGGCGGATGTGATGAGGCATGGACTGGAAATAATGTGCCCGGGCCTAGCGTGGCAGGATCTGGAGGACCTGCTCTTCATGCAAAGAAGCACAAGGTCGGGTTTTCCAGAGGGGACATGGATTGCAACATTCCTGCATCAAGTATGGCTGGCAAGATGCAACGCGGTGTGGAGGAATGAAGCCTTCCAACCTGGGAAGGTGACTTGGCAGGCGGTGGTAAAGTTTGTCGCACATGCGAGGATATACTGCGCGGCGCGCAGAGAATCAGCGCGGTTGAAGGGACATGCCTTGGACAGTGACTGGGCGTACCTGGCAGACAACGAGGCAGTGGTGATGCGACGTATTTGCAGCAGTGACCCACCGCTGACGTGGAGGATCGGCTTCAGCTCTGTGTGGGACAACCCCAGGCTAACACATCAGCCACCATAGCTGCCTTAGAGGGGATCTGCATTACTAGCTTTTGTAGCGCTCCCCTCAACCCTACAGTTACGACTGCCGATGTCTATACATTCTTGTAATGTATTTTGATATCAAAAAAAAAAAAAAAAAAAAAAAAAAAAACTCGGTCGGACTCAGTCGGTATGGTGCACGTGAGACGGGTTTCGCACCTGGTTCCTCCACGATCTCGTGTTCGTGGGTGCGTGCTGGAGGTACGCCTACAGGTAGGTCGTCGGGCATTATATCCTTGTACTGCTCCAAGACATCCTTCACTGTTGCAGGTAGCTCAGAACTCGGCTTCTCCTCCTCTGCTGCTGCCATAACCAGTGCTAGGTAACCCGTGTTACTCTCGTTCACCGTCTGTTCGAACCGTGCCAGTGTCATTTCAGGTACGTCCCCTGTATCCGTCCAGCTTCGCAGTGCTATCCGCTTCCCGTTGTTGTAGATGCACACCTTGCTGTTGACCCAATCGATCTCGGGGTTGAAGCGCTTTAGGAAATCTCGCCCCAAGATAAAATCTAATCCTTTGATGTTGGTGATTGGTAGCTTCGGCTTCCACCTCAACGCACCTATATGCAGCTGCAGTGATGCTTCGCCGTGGATAGGAAGCTTCGTACCATCCACCATGGTTGCTGAAAACTGGGTCTCTTTCGCCTTCTCTCCAATTTTCTCCAATGCTCCGTGGTCACACACCGAGTGAGATGCACCGCTGTCCACCAGTGCCTGGAGGCATCGCCCATTGCATAACACCTCGAGGAGTAGTGGTTTCTGCTGCGCTGAGTAGCCAAAGAGGGTCTCGTTAATAGGATCATAGGGTACATCAAACTTAATACCTTCCATTTTTCCTATACCTGACACAGCGCTTTCCAACTTCACCTGGGGGGTAGGAGGATTTTTCCGAGGCTTGTATAATTTCTCCTGAGCCTGGATGTCTCCTCTAAGCCTTGGCAGCTTGGTAGGCTTCACCTGTGGGCAACGGGGAGCCTTAACACTGTGCTGCGGGGAGAGAATATTAACTCCACGGAACGGACGACCCTTTTCTACGCTCCGTAGTACTTTACCCAACTTCTCAGGTACCTGAATAATTTCTAAAGGCTTTTTTTTGGCCTCTAGACCTCCCCTGAATTTTTTGAAGGCTTGTAAACCACGAGAAGCAATATTCTTTGTTAGAGCATCTTTATAGGATACTTTTAACGAATTCTTACTTTCGTGGGTGTTCGACTAGAGTTTCCCGGTCGGTGCAGAGTCTTTTTTCGCGGAGCCTCCATTCGCCTCGGCGATTTCCCCTGATGCCGGCCGGTCGTGACGTTTTAAATTCGCGCCATCATTTTCTCCTTTTTTCACCCGCTCCGAAGTCGCCACGTCGTCGCCTTTTCCTGCTTTTCGGATCTTTACGCGATCGCCAGGTCGATCCGCGGCTACTGGCGATTCCCGTTTTTTTACTTCGAGGGTGCTCCACTGTTTCCGTCCCGGGGTGTCGCACGTGCTTTCTTCATTTTGTAGCACGACAAAAACTGATGTCCTACTGCGCCGCAAAATTCGCATTTTGTCGGCTGCTGCTTTGCGTCGTATTTGTCGATATCCATCGGTTCGGCGAACGTGGGGGGTGCCGATCGCTTCGTGCCGAATGTACGGTTCGGCATGAAGCGTCGTGTTTCGGGTTGACCTCGAGTCAGCGCGTCGTATCGCTCGGCAGCACGCACGATGTCTCTGTAGCTGTTGTAATTCGCCGTAATCACTTGCCACCGAATCTCCGTTTTTAACCCTTCGGTGTACGCCTGGATTTTTTCGCCTTCGGTCAGGTCGGTGATGCGGTTGAACAGTAACTCCATCTGCTGCGTCTACTGTGTTACACTACTGTATTGCTTGTGTCGGTGTATCTGCTCCCGCGCCATGTAGGTTGTATTAATTGGTTCGAAACGCTCGATTAAATCTGCCCGAAACTGCTGCCACGTTTTCTCCCCGCGGGCTACGTCGGTGTAGTAAATCAATTCAAGAGCCGGTCCACGTAACAGTGTCGCTGTGAGCCGAATCCTTGCAGCGTCGTGTTGCGGGGTCGAACAGCCAATGGCCTCAAAGTAAATTTCGAGGGTGGCCACGAATCGTCGGACGTCGGATCCCTTCGCGCTTGGATCGAACGCCTCCGGGAGCCTCGGTCGTGCTGCTTCGAGGTTCGGCGACAGTGGTGCCACTGGTCCGTGAAATGTCGCTGTCGCCACTGCTGCTGGAGTTGTCGGTGCTGCAGTCGCTGTGGTCGCTGCTGCTGCGGCGGCGAACCCTGGTTGGCTTTGTCAGAATATTATCTTATTGTTCTAGCCTGTAGTGGGGTGCTCTATAGCGAGTACAACCCTTCTAGGGTTTGCTATTTGTATCCTCATTCTTGCTAGTTCAATCCTCTTTCTTTCTTCAAATTTTGACATGCTATCAGAGCAGGTCGATCCCCTTGGATCGATCCTGTGGGTGGGCTCACCACCTCGTTGCTTCCGCTGCAACTGCTACTGCTACTCTCTATGCCGCACGCCCCGTGGCGTGCGGCAGTTTTTTCTTCCCGCCACGTGCTCGGGGCGCATGGCGGTTTTCTGCCCACCGCGCGCTCAGTGCGTGCGGCGGTTTTCTGCCCACCGTGCGCCCCGAGGCGCGCGGCGGTTTCCTGCTTCGCGCGGCGGTATTCTGCACGCCATGCGCTCAGGACGCGTGGCGGTTTTCTGCCCACCGCGCACCCTGGGCGCACGCGGCGGTTTCGCGTTCCGTCGACCCGCACGCCCGTCCCCGTCGACCTGCGTGCGGCTCCTCGTCGCCCTTCGCGGCGTCCCCGTCAACCCGCGCGAGGCTCCCTGTCGCCCTTAGTGGCGGCCCCGTCGACCCGCGCGCCGCCTCCGGCGACCGGTGTGCCCATCCCCGTCGACCCGCGTGTCGCCCTGCGGCCCCCCCCCCCCCCCTCCCCGCACACCTGCGTTTGCTTACCGCACACACGAGTTCGCTTCCCGCACACCCGATTTTGCTTCCCGCACGCTTGTGCATGCTTCGCGCACACCTGAGCTCGCCTACCGCACACTCAGGGTATGGGGGTGACGGGTATGGGGGTGGCGGGTGTGCGCGGTCCCCTGCTCCTCCTCCTCCTCCGTCTCCCACTGCTGCAGCTGCCGCTGAGGGGGGTGGGTGTGTGGGAGACGAAGGAGTGGTGCTAGGGGGGTGTGTGGGAGTAGAGCTAGTGGTGTAGCAGTGGGTGTGTATGAGGGGGGTGGGACTGTGTGCGGGAGGATGAGTGGAGGTTGCCAGTTTGTCGTCAGCAACACCTGTATTCCGGGGGCTTCGCCCGGTAGCCCAGTCGTAGCCAGCTGTGCCAGCCGCCCGTGGGTCCGTTGCTCGTCTGCCGCTACTTTAGCCGCGGGGCCAGTTACTCCAGTAGTCCGGGGGCGTCGCCCGGTAGCCGCTGTGCCAGTGTGCCTCCTGTTGCCCGTGTGTCTGCAGCTTCAGCTGTCGCCTCCCAACTCCTCTCGCTCTCACTCCTCCTCCTCACTTGCCCGTTGTGACCACCACTAGTTTTGCTTATAATTGTGAACTATGAACTATTTCTTCTTGAACTTGTGCTCAGAATGTGTGGTGACATTGTGATCCACCCTGAGCTTGTTTTGCTTTGCCTGCACTGCTGATTACACCCCACTTTGGCTATGGGGGTGTGTCAGAATATTATCTTATTGTTCTAGCCTGTAGTGGGGTGCTCTATAGCGAGTACAACCCTTCTAGGGTTTGCTATTTGTATCCTCATTCTTGCTAGTTCAATCCTCTTTCTTTCTTCAAATTTTGACAGGCTTGTCAGAAAAGCCTCAAGTCGACGAAGCGTCGCCTGCGTCTGCTCCATGTCGGTGCGGAGGCTCGCGATGTCGCTCGTAGTCGCGTAGTTGTCGCCTTGGCCCTCCATGCCTGACATCAACGCGTCCGAAAAACCGAATCGAGGGGGAGCAAAAAACACGGAACCGGTTTTACGTACCCGAAATCGATGTTTGACTACGTCGCCCCCGCGGTTTTTTTAAGACTGGTTTTTATCGGTCGAAAGAACTTCGCGTGTAAACGGCCTCTGATACCAAGTGTGATGATCTAGGATCGAGCTCAGAATAGAGAATGAGAATTGAGTCGAATTGAATGATCACCTGGGTACAACACGAGGCTATATATTGGCTCGACACAAGGCCCCGTAACCAGGTGTTACGCGAAGGTTCCGCAGGTCGCGAAGCATCCCGAACAGATCCTTATCGAATTCGGTAGAAGGCAATTCGGTGGCAACCGAAAAGCCAGAATTCGGTGCACGCAACCTAGCTCGGTGTTATAACTATAATAAAATATAGGAAAGCACCTAGCCTAGGAAATCAAGCAATTCATGCATGCATATAAGTATCCTATGCTAGAAATAGCATGATAAAGTAAAGGCACGCAAGCATAGCTGGCATAAGCCGTTGTACTCTCACAAGGCGCCTCGCCTCTGGCAGCAGCACCTGCACAATTCTCCTCGAAATCGGCTTCAAGCAGCTCCCACACGACCCGGGAATGTATCGTCCTCACTTTAGTGGAGACTACATCCTCCTGACAGTCTACGTCGACGACCTGTTGTACACGTGCACCTGCAACAAACTCCTGGATCAGTTTCAGGAGAACTTGGCGCAGCGCGTAGACATCACCATCAACCTCGAAGTGAAGCAGTTTTTGGGGTTAAACATCACCTACGCGCCAGAATCAATCCATCTGTCAGCCTCCAAGTATGCAGAGCAGCTGGGGGAACACTTCAACATCTCTCCCGAACCACTCTCAACTCCCTACCGCAACCACAGCACCAACTACAAACCGGACAACAAACCACTGTCACCCGCAGGACTCCAACTGTACCAGCAGCAACTGGGTTGTCTGCTGTTCGCCTCTGTCACCTGTCGACCCGAACTTTCGTACATCGCTAGCCAACTGGCGCAGTATTCTCGCAAGCCAGTAGCTGAGAACCA